TGTGTGTGTGTGTGTGTGTGTGTGTGTGTGTGTGTGTGTGTGTGTGTATATATGTTTTCTTAAGCTTTCGTGGGTATTTACATGTATGGTATTCAGCTTTGTTCGGGTATTTTCCCACGTCATTGTAGTTGTGCTTTCAAAGTTGTAGCAAAAGTTGTATTCTGCCGAAATGTTGCTACAACTTTAAAAGCACAACTACGACGTGGGAAAATACCCAAACAAAGCTGAATACCATTTATATACACACACAGACACACACACAGACACACACACATATGTCAAAATAATACAATGGCACTGTTAATGAGATAGCACCATTAATAGCAATAGACTTATATACCACTTTACAAAGCTTTACAGCCCTCTCTAAGTGGTTTACAGAGTCAGCATATTGCCCCCAACAATTTGGGTCCTCATTTTTACCCATCTCAGAAGGATGGAAGGCTGAGTCAACTTTGAGCCTGGTGAGACCATTAACCTTTGTAACATGCTAGCAATAAAAGACATAGAAAATGAAAGCACCCAAAGTGTCATCTTGACCCATTTTCAAGATGCACTGACCAGACTTACATAGATGTTGGGGGGGGATGCAGTTATGTCTAGCTGTTATACGAGTGTTTACAAACAGCTGTGGGAAGCACAGCCAGACACATGGAATTACATCAAACAGATTTTCAGTTCATAATGAATCACAGACTCTGGATGAATTGCTGAGAATTACTTATTTAGGCTACCGCTTGACTTTTCTTTTTCTTGACTTATAATTGCTTTATTGTGTGCATATCGTCACCACCGCACTCAAAACTCACAGTTTTGGCCTTATTCTTTGCTTTTTTCTTTTTTTTCGTTTAGTGACCTAACAGCGATGAAACAAAACAACAGGTATCCAGGAAGAGCTTCTAGGCGAGAGATCTCCATTTCATCCCTCCCTTTTGGGTTTACCGTTTTACCTGCATCAAGTCTTTCTCTTGCGGGGAGAAATCCTCGCAAAGACAGGCGTCAGATGAGGCACACAACCGTCCCAACCCTCTCCTGAAAAACCACGACTCTGAAAGTATTTTGGTCCCCTGAAGCTATTCTTAGGGATAGCTTACCTGCCTGGCCAGCCACCGACAGCCGCCAAGCCAGAGTGCAACGTAAACTACTTGGGCCGGGGAGCTTGGCAAGGAAGGCTGGTCAACATCAGAAGGCGGCTTCCCACGCGAGCTACCGGTACGTCCTTCCCTTCAGTCCCTTCTACATGTCCCCGCCGCTAGTCCGGACCTCCGAACCAACTGGCTCTTTTTCCCGAGGCTCTTTCTCTACCTTCCAATCTCTGCTGACCTCACCGGCCTCCGCAGAGCCAGGCCCAGGCTTCTGGCGCAGAAGCCAGATCTCGCCTAAATGATAGGCGCCCCCCCGCCTTCCCCGCAACTTACGTCGATCGCCGCGCCTCAGTCCGCCGGGATTCAGGCAGCACAGCGGCTGCGAAGGGGGGTGGGGGGGCAGAGGAGCCGCACGCGACGCCACCGAGACCCACTTCCGCGACTACGGACTAGAGTGGGTGTTGCCGCTTGACAGCAGTTTCCCCCCGCCCACCGACGTGTTCTTCCCGCGCAGGCGCTTGCCTTGCTACGCACCCGGTTGACCCAGATTCGGGAGCTCGAACTTCTCGTCGCTCGCTTCCGCTCCCTTGCGGACGGCGGAGGTAACTACCTTCTCCATCTCGCCTCGCTCCCGAGAAAGGTGGGAAAAGACCATAACGCATGCGCGGACCTCGCGGCGTCGGAGGAAAAAAAAAAAGATCCTCACGTGACCTTTGCTGCCATTTTGGGCTCCGAGGGGGTTTTGTGGGCGTTTAAGATGGTAGAAAGGGCGATTTTATCACGTCGGGAAATTTAGCGGGCAGTCTTGCTATTTTATTTTATTTTTGGACGTAGCGGGTAGAGTCTGTAAGCAAAGATGGGAAGAAAGGGGAATATGGTGAGGAGTTAATGCAAAACGTTAAGACGACTCTCAAGTTTGGAAGGCAGGGCTTTTTAAAAATAAAAAATAAAGAATACTAAATTGCTTTTTTAAAAATTAAGAATATATAATCCCATTGAGTTCCAGGGCTTACTCATGAATTAGCTGCAAGCGTTGCGCTATTCAGTTGTAAAATTATCTCTGGTAATTGAGGTTATATAAGAACCAGTTTGGTGTCATGATGAAGGTGTCAAACTAGAAAGGAGGAGGCGGTGGTGGTTAGTGTGGCCTTGAGGCAGTCCCTCTCTCAGCCCTAGGTAGCAGGCAGTGGCAAGCCACTTCCAAAAACGTTGCCAAGAAAACCACAGTTTTCTTGCCATGAGTAAGGCCTAATTTATAGGCATCCCTCAAAAATTTGAGGCTGGAGATATTTGCTTTAAGGAATAAGATCCACTGGTAATGAAACTTGTATGAAGGACATTTAGAATTGAGGTATTCAATAATTAAAATAAGTTTGCCTCTTTATGTTAAAATGTATTTACATAAAATGCTTTCTTCTATAAAATATCCTCTGTGAAAAAATATAAAATACATTGCATAAACTGGACATTCCTACTGCACAAAAATATTGAAGGTATTTCATAATCTAACATGGAGCCTTCATTGCTGAAATAGGAGTTGCAGACAGGATTGGCATGCACTAGACAATTGTTTAATTCAAATCTTGAAAACCTTGCAAGTGTTTTAACATCTCTTTGCAGGCGGACCTGGAATATTTTCATCTTCATTTGTGTCGAAATGAAATCTTTAAAATCTTTCTGCCACAAGTTTATGGGAGGGGTAGCTGTTTCAGAAATACACATTGGTTCTAAACTGTTTCTAAGTTTATGACTTACTGTATAAGTTGAGGCCACTTATATTTAGTGTAGCAAAAAAAAATAATACTATGGGCTATCAATGTTTTTAGCAATGGTGAATGTGGCTCACATTTTATCAGCAAAACTAGGGATAATATACAAATAACTACAAATGTGTTAAACACTCTTCCAAATAAGAAATTTCCTCTTTGCTATTTGACCTCTGTAATAGGGGGTTGGGATTCTGCAGATGAAAAAAAATCATAATCCTGTAAGTTTTGAATGATTGGCTGCTGCGTTGTTTACATTCCTTAGATTTATGGAAGATGGGATTCTCAAGGATGTTCTTGTCATCAAAGTATCTCCAGTCTGGCAAAATTACTATTGTTCTTCTCAATTGTAGTACACCCAGTTTTAATTTCTTGTATGAATTTGTCTGCATTTTGGAGGTGGGGGGGTTTACTTTATATTTATTACACATTTAAAAGGTCAGTGAATATTTTTATAGGTTTCTGTGTTGCTCCAGTCAGAATAGCTAAATTTGTATACTCATCTCTGAACTGTGAGGAGCTTCAGTGCTGCCAGCACTTATCTGGCTTTCCTTGGAAGCAGGTCACTGAAGACAATATTTATTTATACAGATATACATGCTGAGCATAAAATGAGGGTTTATTACTTACAGATTTCTAGGACAATCTTCAGTGTCCTAGGATTTCTTATAGAATAGCCTCATTTTATTCTTCTAGCACATACCACTTTAAAAAAAAACATTGTCTTACTCTTGAATTTTGAGATTGCAAGAAATTGTACTTCCTACTGCAAATACATTTGCAGAAAATAATTTCCTTGACATCCTCAATGATGTATCTTTTCGTACAAGTCATAGAATGCGGTGTTTTGCAAACTACATGTAGATAGATCTTAGTAATACAAATGTACACTATAGTACTATATAGTACTATAGTACTATAGTACACTGTAGTAGGAAAGCAATGCATACCTGTGCATAATTGTATCGTTTTTTTCTACTTAGTAAAATTAGAGCTTCAACTATCAATCCAATTCTTGATTACTAAATCTTACCATAATTAGATACTGCAGTTCTGTTGGATTAAAATTGCCAAAGAGACAGAAATGGGAACAACATTAATATCTTTGAAGTAGGTTAGTATGTCACATTCAAGAAGGTGCTAATAGATTTATTCATCACCGAGCAGTTTTCAGGAGCGTGTGACTAAAAATATTCTTTCAAGTGGTTTAGGCAATTTGATTTGTTCTTCATTTTAAGAAGAAACAATTGCTTCTTTTTTTTAAAAAAAATCACCTACTCAAGTACTTGAATTGCTTGTCAAGATTTAAAATACCCAACCTTATGGTACTTCTGTATAGATTTTTATTTTAAAAAGTTAAGTTTTATGTGTAAAATTGATGTTATTTCATCTTGACCTGTTTTTGAAAATAATTGCCATACTTTCCCATATTTTAAAATAGATTAGGTTGGCAAGCAAATAACATAGTTCTTGAGTATATTGGTGCAAGAAATGCAGCATTTGAAGTTAAAAAGTTTAGGAATATGTGAAAGATGTCTCTTCACTCACAGAAGTCAGAGTAAATTTAATTATTCTAAGATTTATAATGCCCCCCAACTCAGATAGATAACTCTGGGAGGCATATAATATAAAAGCAAACAAAAAAGAAGTGAAAAACTCATAATAAACAAGATATAAATATAGAATGGTAACTAAGCACAACAATCAGAGGGAGAATGGCAACTGAAATGTTAGGTATTTGCCATACATAAGACATTAAACAGGTGGCCATAACCAGCAGGAAAGACATGATCGGGGTCCTATCCACAAGAAGGTGCCAGGTGGTTGGACCTAAGAAAAGACCTTTTCTGCCATGGCACCTACCCTCTGGAAAATCATTCCCCCGGAGATGAGACTTATTCTACTGGTCTTTTGCAAAGCATTGAAACTCTGGCTTTGGCGTCAAGGCTGGAGACCTGATATTGTAGTATGGTTGAGCCCGTTTTGTATTAATTGAGTGTTCTTGGCTACTAAATTATGTTACCTTTATTGTTTTAAACTGTTTTCTGTTTTTTACTGTTAGCTGTCCTGAATCATGCTTATGAGATTATAAGATTATACCCGGTGTCATATACATTTATTGAACTAGCAGTGGAAATAGTTATTCCCAAGTAATCAAAAGTGAATAGAAAGTATGCAGCAAATTATAAGCCTACTACAGTAATTAATTTAATATAATTAATAAACATGTGAGAAGTTATTTAATTTTTGACTGGCTTTTAATTATTTTATATAAATATTCTTGTTTGGTGCTATCATAGTTTAAAACAACACGTTTGCCATTCTTAGAGTAATAGTAAAAAGAAACACAGCACACTCATTTGAAACATGAGCATCGGCACTGAAAAACAGGAAATGACTGGCATATAAAGGAATCTTGTATCTAGATGGTTAACAGTGGTGCCTATATTTGTATCAAACATGCAGTTTTGAAATCTGCCTATAAATAAACAATATGCAGATCTGTTCATCTGCAAGAAGCTGATGAAAATTTTGAAAATATCTTCTAGGAGTATCAGTTCCATGATGGACAATTTTGTATCATGTGCTCTGTTCCTGATCCAAAACCACCACAATGACTATGAAAACTTTTCCAGAAAATGGTATTTATTGAATTTTGCAATCATAATTTTCTGTTTTCAGGGGCATTAGCTTGTTGCGGCTACTGGCTACTCAGAAGTTGAAATAGGAACAGTGATTATCATCTGACGCTGGTTGAGTTTATGGCAGTTTGTAAATACTCCCAAATTTCAAGGATCAATATGTACTTCTCCCTGATGGCAGGCTTTTTCTAGATGGTGACACCAAGTTGCAAGGCAACTTTGATTGCCAGAGTTTCTTATCCTAAATGGTATAATTCTGCAGAGCTGAATTTTAAGTAATAGGCACACAAGAACGTTATAGAGGAACCAGAATTGGCTTGGAAAAGTATAGGACTTAATAGTAGCATTGGAAACATATTCTCTAATTTCCTGGAGATTTCAAATTAAGTCAGCCCTATTCCTTAATCCCACATTTTCCCTAGAAATCTCTTCTTTGTTTTAAATAAGCTAAAACTTCTATATCCATCAGAGGAAGATGCTATGGTAACTGCCTCAATCATGGGTATATGGCTAATGAATCTGTACTCAGCAGTTTTTAGGGCTATGAAAATCTTTAAATGTGTATTTAAAATCACAGTTTGAGGAAAGAACTCCTTCAGAGCATCCGAAGTAAGCACTGTAGACCCTACTTCTGACTGTGGGAACTGACCCAACCTTTTACTCATCCAAACATTCCTTTGCAAATGCACAGAAACTGATTCAATAATGCATTGAACTAGATGCAGTTCAGTGATAAGAAAAATAAGATCCTACACTTAGGCAGGAACAACCAAATTCATAGGTATAAAATAGGCAGTACCTTGCTCAACAGTAATATCTGTGAGAGGGAACCACCACTTAAGTATGAGCCTGCAGTATGTTGCAGTTGACAAAAAAGCCAATGAAGTCCTAGGCTGCATCAACAGGGATAACGGAACACAAGAAATGATAGTACCTCTCTGTATTGTACTAATAAGGCCACAATTAAAATACTACATCTGGTTCTGGTCACCATGATACAAAAAATATGCTGAGGCCCTAGAAAGAGTGCAGAGAACAACAGAGATAATGAGAGGTCTGGATTTCGGAGGCTAAACTTAGGTATGTTTAACTTAACCAAGATAAGAGTGATAAGGATAGTTGTTTACCAATACTCG